CTCGTCCCTGCCTCCCTAACCTGTTCTTCCTCCCACCTATCCCCTCCTCCCACCTCAAGCCGCACCTCCATCTCCTACCGACCAACCTCATCCCGCCCCCTTGACCTGTCCGTCCTCCCTGGACTGACCTATCCCCTTCCTAACTCCCTACCTACACTCACCTTTACTGGCTCCATCCCCGCCTCTTCGACCTGTTTTTATCCTCTCCTCTATCCCTCTTCTATCCACCTCCCACTCTCTCCCTATTTATTTCAGAACCCCCTTCCCCTCCCCCTTTTCTGATGAAGGGTCTAGGCCCGAAACGTCAGCCTCTCTGCTCCTATGATGCTGCTTGGCCTGCTGTGTTCATCCAGCCCTGCACCTTGTAGTCTCCCACCTACGCCTTGTTGTGAAGTTTATTAAAAATAAATTTTCTGTGGGTATTATGTTGCGTCGGAAACAGGAGAATTGGTAGGTTCAAGACCCACTCCAGAGTCTTGAGCACATAACTGATGCAGTCTTCGCAGATTTTATATAAAATCCAAAATCTGCTTTCTAAAGGCGACTTTTAACACGTTAGGAGGCCCACTGTATCAAGGTTGACAGTCCACATCCAGCACTGTCAGAGGTGACACGTCTTGCAGGTGTGAAAGATCTCAGAGCCATTACCTCCAAATAAAAATTATTTGGCAGATGGAGTCTCATGCGTGAAAATGTGAACTCGTCCACTTTGGCAGGAAGAACAGAACAGCAGGAGTAAACCTACACTTCAAAAAGTACTTCCCATCCTAGGGAAGGTTGAGAGATTAGATAAAAGTGTTCAAAATAATGAGGGGATCTAGTCAAGGTAGATAGAGACTTGAAATTGGTGGAAAGGTCGAGATCCAGAGAATACCAAGACAAGATGATCGCCAAAAAGCAACAAAAAAGTGAAACCCCTTTTTGCGTAGAAAATGGTTAGGATCTGGATGCACTGCCTAAGGGCATTGTGGGGGCATATTCAATCATGTTTTCAGCTCTTTTATTAATCATCTAACTCTCCAGTTTAGTATAGATCAGGTCATTTTTCAGTCCAAGTACTTGCAGTGATTTCTTACTGACAAGAATTGGAACTAAAATGCTGAAACCATTCTCCTGAACATTACTGGAATTGACAGCATGCTTTTATTCAGGGCAGCCAGCATCTTTTGCACCACTGATGCTTGCCTGGCCAACATTTGACAATTTTTAATTCAGTTTCCCAGCATCTGCAATATTTTGCTTTTGTACTAAGATGATTTACAGGCTCTTGAGTCCTAAAGGGTTCAAGTCCTGTCAAGTGTAAACCTGAGACAACACAGTGTGGAACTGGAGGAACACAGCAGGTCAGGCAGCATCAGAAAGTTGATGTTTTGGGTTGGAACCCTTTAGAGTTCTGAAGAAGGGTCCTGACCCGAAACGTCAATTTTCCTACTCCTCTGATGCTACCTGACCTGCTGTGTTCCTCCAGCTCCACACTGTGTTGTCTCTGCCTCCAGCATCTTCAGTTATTGCTATCTCCAAGTGTAAGTCTGATAGATCTTTATAAAACAAGGCAAATACAACAGACATGCATCATTCCAATAGTTAACTGATCAGCCAGCATGTACCCAAATTTGTATTATTCTTCCAAAAGAAGTGGGAGTCACTGGCAAGGCAAGTATTAGTTGCCCATCTCTAAATGCCTTTAAACTGAGTGGCCTGCTAGACCATTTCAGAGTGCAGTAAAGAATCAACCGCATTGCTGCAAGTTCGGAATTTTATGTGGGCCAGACCTTAAGGACATTAGCAACTCACATAGGTTTTTTTCGACACTTGATGATAGTTTCATTATTTGTATTCTGTTTCAGGTATTAGAAGGAGCAAGTATGAGAAGAGATCAGTCTCACACTAGGGATTCACCCTAATGATAGCTACTGACCATACTTGCTAAAATTGTTCATGTGAACAACAGTTTCCATCAATATCTGTGCAGGAAGAGATCAACACCTACATCAATCACATGACAGAGGAGTAACTGAGGAAAGGGAAGGATCCCAGTAGAAATCAAATTTAGCAAAAGACTGATTGCAATCAAAGCACACTGTGAATTACAACTAGTATTCACTGTCAATATCACTTTTTTTTATTTTGTGTTTGTTTTTAAAACACTGTGGACTGAAATGACAAAGAGTTGTTTTAAAACTAATGTTTGAAAGGGTAGTATATTTTGAAAATAAGTAACCATTGTAGGCATTGTGTAAATAACTGTTGAACAAGCAGTAATTGAAGTTTGGGAGAGCAGCATGATAGTTCAGTGGTTAGCCCTGCTGCCTCATAGTGCGAGGGATCTGGGTTCAATTCCACCCTCAGGTGGCTGTCTGTATGTGGTTTGCACATTCTCTGAAGGGTTTCCTCCCACAATCCAAAGATGTGCAGGTTGAACCTAAACTGCTAAATTGCCCAGGGATTTACAGGCTAGTGGGTGAGCCATGGGAAATGCAGGGTTACAAGGATAGGGTTAGGTGCATCTGGGTGGGATGCTCTTCAGAGGGCTAGTGTCGACCTGATAGATCAAATGGCCTGCTTACATACAGTAGGGATTCAACACAACTTTTGGCAACAAGAAGTTGGTTGGTCTATGGACTAGTAACCTGTTATTGATGACAGAGGCATTTTTGCCTGCCAACAGGTAACAACTTGGAGCTGGGAATAAGTTACAGAAAGGGAGAAGTGCTCAGTTTTTCCCCAGCTTGGAGGAATAGCTTATTGTTTTCTTTGCAGTCAAAACTCCCTGTAAACGTGAAGAAAACCACCTTCAATACTTGTTTGCTGCAGTGTTCCAGCAAAGCTCAGCACAAGCTGGAAGAACAACACCTCATTTTCCACTTGGGGACCCTGCAGCCCTCAGAACTCAATATCGAGTTCAATAATTTCAGGGCCTAAACTCTCCCATGTCCCAGCCCCCTACCCCACACACCAGGCCTTGTTATCACATAGCCTGCCATTACACACTGCCTGTTGTTAGTCACTAACAGTCCCCATTAACAACTGTTCACCCTCCTAGCCAGATCGTTATCAACTCCTTTGTCTGTCCAACTGTTCATCTCTCTCTTTAGGCTCTATCCAATCGTTTACTCCTTACCGCACCCCCATCCCTATTTTCTGCATATACACTGATGTTTTCCCAGCTACCATCAGTTCTGAGAAAGGGTAATTAGACCTGCAACATTAACTCTGACTTTTTTCTTCACAGATGCTGCCAGATATACTGAGCTTTACCAGCAACTCTGTTTTTGTTCCTGATTTACAGCATCCGCAGCTCTTTCGGTTTTTATTCAATAGTTGTTGTAAGATTGAAAAGTCTTAACTGAAAAGTCAAATACTTTGAGTGAACCAACCACCTTTGTGCCTCTTACTACCCAGTGGAAGCATCTAGAGAAAGATGACTGAAGCAATGTGCTGACCAGAAGAGACATAAGGATCATCTTAACAACAGAAGCTGGAAAAACACAGCAGGTCTGGCAGTATCTGTGGTGAGAAAGTAGAGTTAACGTTTTGGGTCCAATGACCTTTCTTCAGAATGTCGTGCAGAAAGGGTCACTGAACCTAAAATGTTAACTCAGACTAAAGGAGCATAATCTTAAAATTAGAGCCAGGTCCTTCAGACGCAATGTCAGGAAACTCTTTTTCACATAAAGAGGAGTGAAAATCTGGACTTCTCTCCCCAAAAATCTCTTTAGGTTCAGGAGTGACAATTAAAAATGTTCACATTCAGAAATGATCAGACATAGGGAAGGCAGAAGCTATTGACAGATTTGAAATTAAGGATAGCAGTTTTAAACTCAATTCATTATTTAAATAAAACAGGTTTGTTAGATCAGGATAGACGGTAAATTTTACTTGATGTGAGATTCGACACAGGTAGCAGAGCTTAATTTGGGTGAGCTGAAGTTTACAATTGGTAGATCATAGGAGGTCAGCCAGGGTATTACAATATCCATCTGGAGGTAACTGACCTATGGATGAAGGTTTCAGCAAATTATGGGCTGAAGCACGGTGATGTCAAGGGACATTATAATATGGAAGTAATTCTTTGGTCAAAAAGGACACCAGGATTGTGAAGCATCCAAAATTCTTACAGGAGTCAATGGTCCTGGAGTAGCGGAGGCTGAGAGGGCTGTTATAGAGGTTTATAAAATCATGAGCGGTGTGGATAGGCTAAATAACCAATGTCTTTTTCCTAGGGCAGGGATTCCAAAACTAGACAACATGGGTTTAAGGTGAGAGGGGAAAGATTTAAAAGGGATGTAAGGGGTAACTTTATCACGCAGAGGGTGGAGTGTGTTTGGAATGGATTGCCAGTGGAAAGTTTTTTTTTATTCATTCACAGGATGAGGGTGTCGCTGACCAGGCAGCATTTATTATTCATCCCTAATTGTCCGGAGGACAGTTAAGAGTCAGCCACATTGCTGTGGGTCTGGAGTCACATGGGCCAGACCAGGTAAGGATGCCGTTTCCTTCCCTAAAGGACATGAGTGAACCAGATGGGTTTTTCTCCCAACAATCAATATTTGGTTTCATGCTTATCATTAGATTCTTAATCCCAGATATTTATTGAATACAAATTTCACCATCTACCATGGCAGGATTTGAACCTGGGTCCCCAGAATGTTATCTGGGTCTCTGGGTTAACATTGCAGCAATAATACCATTAGGCCATTGTCTCCAATGGTGGAGGCTGATACAGTTACAACATTTAAAAGGCATCTGGATGGGTACATGAATAGGAAGGGCCTAAAGGGATAAGGGTCAAATGCTGGCAAATGGGACTAGATCGGTTTAGCACATTTGGTTGGTGCGGACGAGTTGGACCAAAGTGATTCTTTCCACGCTGTATAACTCTGTGATTCTATGGCTCTACGTTTTAGAACCAAGGGACAGAGTTCCTGAATAAGGGTCTCTGACAGGAGAATGTGCCAGTAATCAAACTCCATTACTCCACAAGCCTTATCAAAAATGTAAATGGTCAATTCATTTCTCTTTATCCAGAAATAAAGAGACTTTCACCAGGTTCCTTCAATAAACTCAAATAACCTATTTAATAAAAACAAACCTATTCTTTAGAAAAGTGGCAAAACTGTTTATCAACTAAGCTACTATGTAGAATTAAACTTAATCCCAAACATATTGATTCATAGACAGACAAGACAGTACAGTTCTGCAGAAATAGCAAAGATTGTTTTTTAAAAAATATCCAAAACAGGAAGAACACCCCTGTAATTCAAAAGAACAAATTGGAAGGATAAAATGGGTTGATTTAGAACATAGAACAGTACAGCACAGGAATGGGCCCTTTGGCCCACGATGTTCTGTTCCAGTTCTTTTCATTCCATCAACAAGATCAAATTGATGAACAGTTACAGAATGATGGAAGACTTTCAGACCAGATTTCAGATTCAGATGGGAAACAGTTAAAGTCCTGATATTTAAAATGTTATCAGGTTTTCAAGCCAGTTCATTTGAGAGAAAGAGATTTTAGCTAGTTTTGTTTTCTCTTAGAGAGACATGCTGCTCCCTTCTGCGAGTTTCTTCAACAGCTTCTCTGATCTGTGAAAACACACACACTTAACCTAGGCGCTGAACCAAGAGACCCAAGGCTTCTCAGAGTCTGTTGATCCTGGAATTAAGTCATAAACCCATCTGTTATCTCTTAAAAGCTTTGCTACTCTGCTTCACCAGAGTCATTTGACTTTTTTCATTAACAGCAGACAATCGTATGGTATCCTTTGACCTTTAAACTTTTCATCCCCAAGAAATCACAGAAGTCTCTGTAACCTAGAAATATCTAAAAAGGTCCTTATTCCAATGTAGCATCCATATTCCTGACAGACTAAGACGAGGAGGAATTTCTTCACTCAGAGGCTGTTTGATCATTGATAATCTCCGCCCCGGAACTGTGGACGGTCAACCATTGAGTATGTTTAAGATAGGGGTCAGTATCTTTCTACATATTAAAACCATTAAAGGACAGTGTAATTGTGTTAACGCAGAAGGCTAACTGTTGAATGGCAGAGACTCCTACTCCTACTTTCCCTGAAAGCAGATTGTCCAAAACCTTTGCAGTGAAGTTCACGGCTATCCCAAACCAGCAAATCTGAGCAGTTCTTTATCGAGGTATTTACAACTGTGTGTTCACCTGGACCGGAATTTGATCCGCCTCTTTCATTCAAAAAGAAGCTTTATCAATTAAGAGAAGTTAAGTGTTAAAGAGGGGGCGGATAATCAGGTCTTCCTGATGCTTACACTGCAGGTGTTTATTCCGCATCCCAGTTTCCAATCTTCCCAATTGGTTTAGAAAGAACCGGCTGGGTCAAAATGCTGCTGGAGGAGCACTGATTTCTCTCTGACCGTCTCCGGTGGGAGGAGAGCTGAACAGAATGTTGTACCTAAACAGTCTGACCCTGGCTTTACTTTTCTCTGCGATGATATTAACAAGAGCCCAACAATCCGAAGGTAGGAGTTCCAGTCTCCAATACTAATAACGGCTCGATCAAATCTCATTCAACTGCAACTTACTTCCCAATTTGTGCAATGTTAGAGCTTTTATAAAAGCAGATGTTTAAAAAATCTAATCCTTTAAATGTACGCCGATCGGACACTGTCAATCCCATGAAACATTTGAAAAGGCAATGTCTGATTATCGATGGGTGTCTGTTTAGCCCTATTGAAATAATTGTTCTGAATTCTGATCGCTGGATCTGAAACGTAACTCTGCTTTCTCTCAGCAGATGCTGCCAGATCTGCCGAGTTTCTCCAACTATTTCTGTTTTTGTTAGTGAAACAATTGTGCTTTTTGTTTTGGATTACAGTCTACAGGGTTAGTTATATTTTCCACGTTTTGCATTTTCACATAACTGAAAGATCTAGTGTATTGAAAGATCTAGTGTATCCCAAGATTTGAGTTGAAATTTCCGATCAGTCGACTGCGGGGCAAGATTTAAAGCATGACCTGTACTCTTTCTAGCGTCTCTTTCTCTTTGTCACCATCTCCTGAAATATTTTTAAACCTGATTTTTTTTTTTTTTGTTTGTTTGTTTGCATAACCCAGGTTATACGAACTGGCTGTCATTACGTTCCACAAATGGGTGATACATTACCTAATAGGAACTGCTAATCAGGCTTTATGATTAGCAATCAAAATCTAACCTATCAGAGCAAAATCATTTTGCATGACATATTCCCTCTGGAGGAAATGTGAAACTGCTTATTCTAACCATGTGTTGGAGCTTCTGGCTTTATTAAAAAAAATTAAGTTTTCTTCTAAAATTGTAAACCAAAAACGTTCACCGCAACTTCTCCACAAAAGTAGAACAAGAGAATTATCACCTTGGTAAGCTCTCTCTCCCTCATCTTCAAGCAGTTTGTCACCATCTTCCAGGTGCTTGGGATGTGTCATTATGTTAGTGGTGCTTTATCAATATGTCATTGGATAATCAAACTGATATCCACACCTCTGGGGTTCCATTCTTCTGCAATATTCTCCCCTTGGAGTTGACTGGACTTTTACTAGCTCTGCCTCGATTATTGAGTTGTTTCTCTGTCTGAGTTTGAGTGTCAGATATGTTGAAGTGTTGGGTTAGGATACTAATCAATCCTTTACCCTCTCAATGCTTATGAATTCAGGAGATCATTGCCCAGTTGCAGTTTGACTCAATTTGAAGGAATTTTGACCAATCTCAGGTTTACAGCCCAAAGGAAGCCATTTAGTCCACTGTTACTGCTTTTTTTTCAAAAAAAAAACTTGAACAATACCATCTGATTCACTCCTCTTCTGCTTTTTACATTGACCTCTCTAACCACCACCCATTTCAAGCATTAATTCACATTTTCATTTAAAAGACGTAGGCTCTGTTCCAACTAGTCCTGAAGAGTCTTGACATGGTGGATGTGGAGGGGATCATTTTTGTTATGTGGGAAAATCTGGGACTAGTGGCCATCCTGCAAAAGCTAAGGGTCAGTCTTGCCCCTACTTCTGTTCCCACTCTCCCACTCTCCCTTGGTGGGGGGGGAGGGAGGGAGGGAAGGAGTGGAAACAGCAGTTTTGAGTACTTTTAAAGGGGGTTAAGGGGCAATTGGGAATGTGGAGTAATCATGTCAGCCATGATCCTATTGAATGGTGGAAATGGCTTGAGGAGCTGAGTGGCATGCTCCTCGTCCTTGTCCTCATCCTCGACCTCCTCATCCTCATTGTATGTTGAGAGGGAAGTAAGATTTAGGGTATGAATTTGATGGACGTAGAGATATGTGAAGGACAGAATCCCAGGATACTAATATTTTTCTTGAAAGTGCATGTGCAAATAAATGTAGCCAATAGTATCCTGTGATATAAACAGGAGCATAGGGGTTATAAATTTGTACAAGGCAATAGTTTGGTCATAGCCAGAGAGAAGTTGTGCAGTGTTGGGCATCCCATAACAGGCACAGAGGCCATAGAGTATGCAGCATAGATCCAATGATACAGATGAGAAAATAGTCATTTGGAGACTTATGAGGTACAGGGATAATTCCACCAGGAACAACAGACACATTGCAGCAATTCACCACAGCTCCTTCAGTATCGTCCAAACCCATGACCTATACCCTGTGCAACAGTACCCAGGTATACCCATGACCTATACCCAAGAGCAACAAGTACATACCTGCAAGTTCCCCTCCATGCTGCATACTGACTTGGTTTGGAACTAGATCACCATTCCTTCACTGTTGCTGGGTCTCAAATCCTGGAATTCTGCTTCACAACACTATCCCTAGAGCACATAGCTTGCATTCGCTCATGACTCCAGTGCACCGCCACCTCAGGCAGTAGGGGATTGGTTTTGCCAGTAATGCTCATGTCCCAGGAGAGAATTTTTCTTTTTTTAAATTTTGAGGTTGGGAAAGCATTCTGCAGGTTGGTGGGAATGTGTTTAATAGTAGATCCTAGAAAGGAATTGGAAAACAAATCGCAGGGCTATGCACAACTTTTAAAAAGCATCTGGATGGGTATATGAATAGGTAGGGTTTAGAGAGATATGGGCCAAATGCTGGCAAATGTTCTAAATTAATCCAGTCCCATCTAGTTGGCATGGATGAGTTGGACCGAAGGATCTGTTTCCATGCTGTACAGCTCTATTACTCTAATTACTGGAAAAAAATTATGGACAGGGACTAAGTTGATCTTTGTAAGATCAATGATCAATTGGTGCTCAATCACCTCACTCCATAATGCACTTTTTATTTCTATGATCAGGGAATTTGACTAATTACAAAAATCTTGCAGTTTAAAATAGTTTTTGCTCAATTTCCTACTTGTCGTGAGAAGTCATGGCAGTTATCATTTTTAAGTAATCAATAATACAATATATTTGAAAATTTTTCTTTCCCTGAGGGTTATTAAATGGCAGAATGTGCAAATTATCTCCTGATGAAGAAAGTTACAAAAACTCAACTCCCTGAAAACATTCTCTACATCCTATCTTTATTTTAAATCTGCGATCCCTAATTTGCAGGCCTCCCACATCTACCCTGTCAAGACCCCCAAGATCTTATTTGTTTCAATCAGGTCACCTCTCACTGTTCTAAACTCCAGCAGATATAAACCTAGTCTATCCAACCATCCCTTGTAAGACAATATTGCAGGTATTAGTTTCCTGACCTACTGAAGACACATTTATGCTCTTGTTTAAATACAGGGAGCAATACTGTACTTCTACAAACTCCCATCCCCATGCTTGTCAATATTGAATTGCATTATGCCACCTGTTTGCCCATTCAGTTGACTTATCACCTTTTATAGCCCTCCCACAGTTTTCCAAATCTCCTTTTCACCATCATTTTTGGTATGGTGCTACCTCAGTCAAGTTCAATTGTATAGTCTCCATTCAGAACAAAAACAGATTGGGTAAAGTCTCCTGGAGTACTTCTAACCTTTCTGCAATCTAAGTCTCTAACCATTTTGGAAAGTGCAGTTTCAGTGTGGGTGTTAAAAGGGATAGCTGTGGATATGTCGCATGGTTGCTAGCACAGGTAGGAAATGTATGACCATAAGATTATACGAGCAGAATTTGGCCATTTGGCTTATTGAATCTGCCCTGCTAGTCAAACATGGCTGATATGTTTCTCAGTACCATTCCTCTGCCTTCTCCCCATAACCCTTGATCCCCCTTTTATTAATCAAGAACCTATCTACCTCTGTCTTAAATACAGTCTGACTTTGTCGCAGAAGGCGGTGAGGGCCATGATTTCCACAGATTCACCACCTTTGGCTGAAGGTATTCCCCTTCATCCCACTTCTAAAGGGTCGTCCCTGACTCTCTGGCTGTACCCTTGGGCCCTAGTCTCTCCTACTCACGAAAACATCTTTACCACATACACTCTATCCAGACCTCTCTAAACTCCATTGAGTATGGATCCAGAGTCTTCAACCATTCCTTAGGCAAACCCTTCATCCCAGGATCATTCTTGTGAACGTCCTCTGAACCCCCAACACTTCCTGCCTTGGATATAGACCCCAAAACCGCTCACAATATTCCAAATGTGGTCTGACCAGAGCCTTATACAGCTGCAGCTCTTGTACTCTAGCCTTCTTGAAATGAAAATTAAAATTGTATTTGCATTCCTAACTACCAACTGAGCCTGCATGTTAAACTTAAGCAAATCTGAACTAGGACTCCTAAGTCCCTCTGCACGTCAGGTTTCTGGAGCCTTTCCCCATTTAGAAAATAGTCCATGCCTCTCTTCTTCCTACCAAAGTGCATAACCTCCCAATTTGCCACGTTGTATTCCATCTGCCTCTTCTTTGCCCACTCTCCTAGCCTGTCCATGTCCTTCTCCAGCCTCCATGCTTCCTCAAAACTACCCATTCCTCCACCTATCTTTGTCAAATGCAAACTTAACAACAATGCCCTCAGTTCCTTCATCCAGATTGTTAATCTATAACATGAATGGATGTCCAGCACCCTCTTCCCCCTGTTAAATATCCCCAAAAATTGTAAGTTTAAGCATTTGTCTTCTGTCTAGCAATTTGTTGTTTTAAGCAATGTGTCAAGTTTCTTTTTGTAACATGTGCTTGACTTGCGTTCAAGTAAATGCCTTTATCCTATCTGATGAAGAGTTCACAAGTAGATAAGAAAGAAAGCCTCCTTTTGAGGCACCTTATCAAATGCCTCACATTCAGATCTCAAAATGGTAACAATTGCCAACTCGCATTGTCTTTAAAACATGTTAACTGGCAGAATCTGTCTCTACGTTTGTAAGTAAGATGCTGCTAAGGAAATGCCCTTTTTATAGAAGTATTTTCTTTGTCTTTTAAAGAACCAGAAACCTGTGGTGCTGTCTCGCTTTGCTGGGAAGTGACATCAAGTCTCACATCTGAGAGGTAAATAAATGTATCTGAGGATAATCTACACCTGCAGAGTAACACTTTTTTTAAAAAAAAAAAAATCATTTCTGGGAAGTGGGTGTCATTGGCTGGATGAGTATTTATTGCTTATCCCTAGTGGTCCCTGAGAAGGTGGTGGTGAGCTACTTTCTTGAACTGCTGCAGTCCATGCGCTGTAGTAGACCCACAATGCTCTTAGGAGAAAAAAATTCTGGGATTTTTGACCCAGCAACAATGAAGGAATGGTGATATATTTCCAAGTCAGGAGGGTGAGTGGCTTGCAGTGTAACTTGCAGATGATAGTGTTCCCATGTACCTACTGCTCTTGCCCTTCTAGATGGGAGTGGTTGTGGGTTTAAAAGGTGCTGTCTAGGGATCTTTGGTGAATTTCTGCAGTGTAGCTTGTAGATGGTACATAGTACTGCTACTGAGCGTCTGCAGTGGCAGAGTGGATGCTTGTGAATGAGGTACCAATCAAGTGGACTGCTTTGACCTGGATGGTGTTGAGCTTCTTGACTATCTTTGCAGTTGCACCCATCAAAGCAAGTGGGAAGTGTTCCATCGTACTCCTGACTTATGCCTTGTGACTGGTGGGCAGACTTTAGTGAATTGCTTGCAATAGAGCCACACAGCATGGCTGTGGCCTGCTTTTGTCTGCTTAAATGAGGCTACCTCCCAAAATAGAACCGCCCATGAAAGCTGGGCACTTTATCAATGATTAGGTTCGAAAGCCAACAGCGATGGTTCAGGAATATGCCAATTCATTCCCAAGATCTTTACTTTTTTCAAAACAAAAAAGAATCTAACTTTAGACCTGATGTATTTGACCTAATTTCCTTGACATCTGACTAGAACATGACATTCCAATTTAAAGATGCCCATTGTGCTCTATTCACATAACGTACAGTTCCTATATAAATTTGATTTGAACATTTCAGTAGCAGCAACAACAACTTATTTATATGTGGTACCCTTAACACTAAATATTTCTAGGGTTTCATAGTGTTTGACCCTTGAGACACATGTGCAGGCAGATGACCGAAAGGCCAGTCAAGGTACGTTTAGGAAGAGTCTTAAAGGAGGTTAAAAATTTCGTAATGAGGGAATTTCAGTCCTTTGAGCCAAGCAGTTAAAATCCATGATTGGCAATGGTGGGTCATTAATAAAGGTAGGTGATGCCCAAGAAGCTAGAATTCGAGGAGCACAGATATCCCAAACGTTGTGAAGTTAGTGGAGATGGGAGATAGGGAGGGGTGAGGACAGGAGGGATTGACAAACTAGATTTGGAATCAAGGTGATTGTAAATTAGTGAGCAGATGGGATGATGAATAGGTTGCTGAGTTGAGATACTAACATCAGAAGTTTTTCTTTTATTATTTGTGGATCCTTTCATGAAAGCAGTAGGACCAGCATTGCATAGCCTTTCAGAGGCAATTAAATACAAACCAAGTTTTGAGAGCTGATTGGATCATTGAAAATGGTAGAAAGATTCAATAAGTCAGGTCCAGAGAAACTGGCTTCCCTGGTGGGGTTATCAAAACATACAGATTATGTCTTAAAATCTCAGAACATTTATAACGGAAATCAAGAAGTAGTTTTTTTGTAGTCAGTAGTGGAAGCTGTAACCATTCTGTGATTGCAGCATGGAAGGAGGCTATTTAGCCTGTAATGTCTGTGCTGGTCCTCTTGAAGAGCAATGCAACTATTACCGTATCTGACCTTTTTCCTTGTAGAGGTGTAGCATCACTTCCTTGCTTTTATAACCTATGCCTCTATTTATAAACCCAAGGATCCAATAAGCTGTCTTACTAACTGTTTCAACTTGCTTAGCCACCTCCAGAGAATCATGTACATGAATCCCAAAGCCCCTCTGCTCCTATACTCTCCTCAAATTTGTACCATAGAGCCTGTGTTTTCAGTCCATGTTTCTTCTACCAAAAGGCATCACCTCACATTTCTCTGCATTTAAATTAATCTGCCAAGTATCTGCCCATTTGATCAAATGGTCAATGTCCCTCTGAAGTCACTCAGCATCATCCTCACAATTTGCTATTCTCCCTCGCTTAGTATCATGTGCAAATTTAGAGATTTTGCTCTCAAAACCCATCTCCAAATTTGTTTTATATAAGTCAGAAAAAGCAAGGGTGCCAATACTGTTCCCTAGGAACACCACTTTCAACTCCTCTCCAATCTGAAAAAATCCCACCAACAGCTCAGTGGGAACACCTTAAGGGGACACAAGGTTCATGACGGGTTAATATCGCTTTCTCGGACTGGACAATGATGCCAGCAACAGCCCTGTCCCAAAACAGTTTTTCCAACTATTCAACAATGGCATTTGGTATGTTGGAATTGTTGACTTGCTCGCCGAGCTGGCTTGTTTTCGTTCAGATGTTTCGTCAACATGCTAGGTAACATCATCAGTGAGGCCTCCGATGAAGCGATGTTGTTCTACTCTGCTTGGAATTTACACTGTCTGATCTGTTATGGTGAGTAGTCTCATTTCTGGTTTTGTTCCGTATAGGTTTGTATATGGGGTCTAATTCCATTAGTTTGTTGATTATGGGTTGAGACCCAAAATGCAATCAACAAACCAATAGAATTGGACCCCATATACAAGCCTATACAGAACAAAACTGGAAATGACACTACTCACTATAACAGACCAGACAGTATAAATTTCAAGCAGAGTAGAACAACATCGCTTCATCGGAGACTCCAGTGATGATGTTACCTAGCATGGTGACAAAATGTCTGAACACAACATGAGCTACAAATCTTTGCTAAAACCTTGACTTTGACATGTACTTGTCACTAAAGTGCCTTTTGCTTTGTGATTCCAGAAGGCAAATTTATCTAAACAGTAACAATGTCCTTGAGGCTAACAGACTAAGAAAATCTGGCTCCTGGTTTCTGGCACCGAGAACACAGCACACTCTACAATACTCGCTAGCAAACAAGTCTTCTACCTGGAGAATCTACACCATGTGTATGTATATTTTGATAATGCTGCTTTCTTCTAAGTGTGATTTTTCTACCCTTAAACAGCTGTGCTTTGCTGATGAACCATAATGTGTGCTGTACCTTGGGATGATCTGGGTGTGAATATATAACAGGAGTGGCTCCCTCCTCATCATGAATAGGATCAAGGCTGCTCTAGTTTTTAAATTCAATCCCACATTTCTACCTACACTGATCTCCTTTTCACTTCTCTGCTTAGCAAGAATCGAGCTACCTTTGCTTTTAAAAGTATTCAAAGAGTCTTTCTTTTCCATGAACAGAGTTCCAAAGGCTCATGACCCTCGGGAGAAAAGAAATCTCCTTCTGTTTATAAATGGGTGAATCCTTACTTTTAAACAACAACCCCTACTTCTAGTGTGCCCCCCCCCCCCCCCCCCCCCCAAGAAGAAATATCCTCTCCTCATTCACCCTGTCAAAATCACCTCAGGACCTTTTTTTTTTGTATATTTCAATCAAATCCCTATTTTTCTAAATGCAACACACAAGCCTAAGCCTGCCAGCCTTTTCCAGTAAAACAACCCAGTACTTGTCAGGTAAACCTTTTTCTGAAAAGTCTTCATTACACTTACACCCTCTATTAGATATGGAGACCAATATAGCATGCTTACTGTAGATGTGGTCTCACCAATGCCCTGTTTAACTGAAGCATAACCTCACTCTTCTGTGTTCAATTCCCATCTTTATAAAGTTTTATTAACTTTCCTAACTACTTGTTGTATCTGTGAACCAGCCTTTTATGATTCATGTATGAGAACTTCCAGATGCCAATGCATCCCAGAACTCTGCATCTCTTAGCCTTCCAATAATATGCTGTTTTATTCTTCCTGCCCACACGGGCAACTTGATAAACCATTTGTCAGATCTTTGCCCACTCAGCTAACCCATCTATATCTCTTATAACCTCCTTGTATCCTATTCACAACTTATTGTCTTACCTATCTTTTGTCATCAGAAAATGTAGCAGCCTTGCTTTCGATTCCCTTGTCTAAATCCTTAATATTAATTGTAAAAAGGGTGATGCACGTAGCATGCTACGTATTGTGAAACTAACCTGAAAATAATCCATTTCTGCCTACTGTTTTCTGTCAGCTAGACAATCACCTATTTGTGGCAATATATTGCCTCCTAGACAATAAGATTTTATTTTTCACAATATACTTGTGTTACAATATCCAAGTCCTTCAGTTCCCTTTTATCCATAGCATATTACACCTTCAAAGATCTCCAAAAAGTTGGTTTATTGACCAACGAACAAAGCATTACACAGCCCAGTAACAGTCTGTGGAATTTTCCATCCAAAGCAATTGATTGAACATTAATTGCCTTTTCTGAGCTGCAATCCTCCCTACTTAGTTTAACTAGTCCTGATGCAGGGTGCGGACCTGAAACGTCGACTCGCCAGCTCCTCTGCTGCTGACCTGCTGTGTTCCACACTGTATTGACTCTGACTCCAGCATTTGCAGTTCTTGCTATCTCCTAGTTTACATCTTTGCATGTTTTTGTGTTAAGTATGGGGATAACACTCGTAAGCTCCCAAAGTATTGCTGCTGGATTGCATGGAACTTTCTGCAAAAAGATGTTGAGGTTGTACAAGACATTGGTGAGACCACTTCTGGAATACTGTGTCCATTCTGGTTGCCCATTTTATAGGAAGGATATTATTAAGCGGGAGACGATTCAGAAGAGATTTACCAGGATATTGCCAGGTCTGGAAGGTTTGAGTTATAAAGAAAGGCTGGGACTTTTTTTCTGCTGGAGTGTAGGAAGTTGAGAGGCAACCTTCACAGAAGTTTATTAAATAATGAGGGGTGTAGATAGCATTAGTGGTAGTTGTCTTTTCCTTTGAATGGGGAATTTCAAGACTGGGGGCACATTTTTAACGTGAAAGGAGAGAGATTTTAAAAAAGACATGAGGGGCAATTTTTTTACACAGAGGGTGGTCTGCCTGTGGAATGAACTTCCTGAGGAAGTGGTGAATGTGGGTACAATGAAACGTTTAAAAGACGTTTTAAATAAGGACATGAATAGCGAAGGTTTGGAGGGATATGGGCCAGGAGCAGGTAGGTCAAATTAGTTTGGTTTGGGATTATGTTCAGCATGGACTGGTTGCACCGAGTGGTCTGTTTCTATGTGCTATGACTCTGACTCTGACTTACAGATCAATTGATATACACATTCTCAAGCCCCTGGTAGAGCTGCTTCTCCCTTGCCGTTCTCAACACTACATCATTATGGCACCCCAATGTTAATGCTGTTGTTCTACAGCATTGATAGAATCCCCACCATGTGGAAACAGGCTCTTCGGCCCAAAAAGCCCACACCGACCCTCGGCGCATCCCACCCAGACCAATCCTGCGTAACCCACGTAGTTACACATCCCTGGACACTATGGGCAATTTTAACATGGCCAATCCACGTAGCCTGCACATCTTTGGACTGTGGGAGGAAACCAGAGCACCTGGAAGAAACCCACGCAGACACGGTGGTGGAATCGAACCCAAGTCCCTGGCACTGAGGTAGCAGTACTAACCACTGAGCCACCATTATGTACAAGACCAGTGAGAGGAGATTTTACCTGATGACTTTGGTCATCAAAAACCAGCATGTTTTTATGTAATAGTATCACAACCCAAGGTACTTTGCAGAACAGTAATTGAGCACATTTGGTGTAGCGCCACATAAGATTTTGGGAGCCATGATCAACATCAAGCTGCCAACAATAGAGTGGTAATGCACAATAGGCCAGAATTAGGTACACGGAAATCCAACAAACATCCTGAATTGGAGGGGTTTATGGTGGTAAAGAAGTGTGGAATCATAGAAGGGCTTTGGAAACCAAGTTGACAATTTTATAAGTAGGGAATTTTGGGCTTGGAAGGAGTCAGCAAGTGTTTTTCATCCCTTTTTATTTATTTAAAAGATGTACTGGTGTTGTAGGCAGTCCAGGGAAGGTTCACTAGGTTGATGCACGGCATGACGTTGCTGTCTTGAGGAGAAGTTGAGTAGATGGGGCCTGTACTTTGAGTTTAGAAGAATGAAGTGACCTTATTAACATCTATAAGATTCTTGGAGAACTGGATAGGGTAGATGTGGAGAGGTTGTTTCTCCCTTGGGAGAGCCTAGTACCAGAGGGCATAATCCCTGATTAAGGGGTCACTAATCTAAAACCGATGAAGAATTTCTTTTCTCGGAGGGTGGTGAATCTGTGGAATTCTTTATCGCAGAAAGCTGTTGAAGCTGGGTCGCTAAGTGTATTCAAAACTGAAGGATTTTTAACCTGAGGTGATCAAGGGTAATGGAGAAAGCAGAAAAAAGTAGAGTTGATGATTGTCAGATTAGCCAAAATCTCATTGAATGACAGAGCGGATTTGATGGGCCAACAGGCCTATTTCAGTTCCTATGTCTTATGGTCTTGTGAAAGCATGATGAGTAAATAGGACTTGTGCAGTAGCAGTACCTGCAGTAGAATCGCCCTTGCTAAATGTCTGTGGTTATAGGTCATTGGTTTTATTGGTATGGTATAAATAGGAGGAATCTCTCAAGTCTTATAATGCAGAAGGATGCTGTTTGGTCCATCCAGCTACAAGCCAAAGTCCATCTTTTTGTGACTTATCTATATGCATAATAGCTAATTAGAAAAATGTTGAGCATCTTGATGAATATCCACTTGAGAAACATTATCAGCTTGGTCCAGTTGGTAGCAATCTCTTCTGAGCCCAACTCTGGGTTTAAGTTTGCCAATGTTTAGGCACAGTTTGAGGCTGAAACCTTTAGTGCAGCACTCTGGCAGTATTATAACATCTGAGAAGCTGGCTTTCAAATGAAAGATGTTGTCTATCACCTTTGGTATTGTCTGAATAAAACCAAGGATGATACTTTCATTAACTAAGTGCTATCATCAGCCTGCTCAGATGGGCATATTAAAGCACACTGTTTTAACATCAGTGAAGACTCTGAGTAACCTACTCGATGTTCTGTTCTTTTCTTTTTCCCTTAAAACCCAGGACCCTCAAATGCAAAATCTGATTCTTCTGTTTTGTGGAAACTTGCTCTGTGGAGGTTGGCTATCATATTTTTTTTTACAATGGTTGGAAGAGTCCCACAAATAGCTGAACATGGATAACCAGTTGGTATGGGGAAAACTTTGCAAGCCATTTACCACAGCAGTCAACCTGCAGCTAAAGGAGACCAAAATCAACTTATTGACTGCTTCCAGGATCAGAATTCTCCACTTATAAAGTTCTCAACTTGCCTTTCAAAGCTCACCACAATTTCACACTTGCTTATCCCCGTAATCCCCTCTGACCCGGAAAGTTTGGGGGATCTTTGTGTCCCTGATTCTGACCCATTGTCCATCATCACTCCACTGTTGGTACCCCCCCCCAATATCTTGTAGCCCTGTGCCAACCATCATTGCTAAAGTATCAGGTGCATTGAATTTCTTTAAACAAACAAAATATTTCTCTGTATTTATTGATTATTCAAGCTGTACTAATCTTCAAATTCAGATCTTTGAGTGAATTTAGCCAGCTTGCTTTAAAGTGTGAAAGAACGCAAGATGCCAATGTTAGCAATTGAGAGGTTGTTGTCAAGTGGAGCTTTTCTTGTTTTTATTATTTTAAAAATGGTTTGGCGACGTGTTGAAAGCACCATCTCATGGGAAAATGGTTAAACCCACCATGCCTGCTATAACTGGTTAGGAGGGTACTTTAAAAATGGCTGTGAATCCTTCTGGGACACTCTGAAGCTTTCAAGAGGCAATCTGCAAATGATGTAAATCACCTAAACTGAACAACAGTTCAGTAATTTGGATATTGTAAAGAGAGACCTGTTGCCAAAGCCTTACATCTTGCACTCATCGGCACAGAAGCAGGAATGCCAATTTTTCAAAGGCCACAACAATTTATACACCATGAGACTGAGGACAACAAGATGTTAAACTTTGATAGCACGTTGTTTCAGCAATTCTCAAGTTCCCTACTATCAAATAACTGTTTATTAAAGACATGCTTTTCTTGAGCCGGTCTACATTTCCTGGGATGGATGGATGGGAAGCAATTTTATTTCCTGAAATACTATGGCTTTTTTAAGGAAATGGGATTGCACAGAATTTCCAGGACAGGAACCAGCTAGTCAGAAGCCACATGGTATATTCTGGTCTTTATGGTCCATTCTATCTTCTTTTTTTCTTTAACCCTTGCCTTCCTCATGATTTAAGTATAAAAATAATAATTCAACAGGTCAAAGCTGCAGTGTTTTTTTAGGTTTATAAATGTTGTAGATTTTGCTTTTTTTTCCCTTTTTTTTGTATTAACATTGAGGTCCTCCACACCTCCTGGTGGATTCCCTAAATGGAAGCGGTGCAGAAATGTCTCCCATCCAGTTTGCTGACTTGGTAAGTGGACAGCTGCTGTGAATGTGTTGGATGCTAGACTGTATGAGCTAAGCTTCCTATTTTTTTAATGATCTGCAAGAATTCAGCCTTTTTTTTTCTAGAAAATCGAAGACTCTGACCAAAGATTCCCGTTCCAAAGGAGCATCAATCTGGGCTGTCAGGGAGAAGTGTTTTACATCTCTGAGGCAGATGGTGTAGCTCTGGTATTAGGTAGATATGTACTGGTTTTTTTTTTTTTTTTTTGAAAGCTGAAGAGAGAGACTTGAAGTTTTGAATTGTGCACTCATCAGGACAAACCCAAGTCCCAACTCCAAATAGTCCCTAGTTATTCAGTAGGAAGAAAAGGGTGCTGCCTCTGGCAAATTGTTGCCATGGAGAAACTGATGGAGTATGCTAGACTCTCCAAGCTCCTGGGTAATTCAAAAAAAGGCACCTATTCCTTTTGTTCACAGATAATCGATCCCTGGGTACGAATGTATATTGCTTCTAGCAAGCCACATTGAGCTCAGCTGTTTAAAATTTGGCGCTCTCATGTTTGTCCTGTGGAGTGCAAAATGAAAAGTTTTTATTTCAAATGTTTCTCTTCAGTAATAAACTCGTTCTATAATACTCAGAGACTTATTAAAAGAAGAATGCTGGAAATCTGAAATAAAATAGAAAATACTGGAAAAGGAATGTGTCAGGAGACCTAATCTAATGTAGATCAGAGGTAAATCATAGTTGAGAGATAATTGTTAATGTTTTAGCTGTTGACCATCCATCAATCAAACTTCTTAGGAAATGTTTGAATGTTTGCAATTAATTCAAAATGTGGCATTCTAACAGATTATTTGTGGATGTTTTGGGGAGAAAATGAAACTTTTTTTAAAAACCACTTTTGCTGCACTAACCATTGAAACTGATTCAATCTTGAAGTTCTTGCTGCTGAATTCCCCTTGAAGATCACTACAGCAAGTACTGCTCTGAGTTTCTCTTGGGGTTTCAGAGACTGTTTCTTTGAGGATTCTCCTTGCGCCCTTCTGTTGCTCAACATGAGGGGCAACAATGTGCATCAAGAGATGGTTCGAGACCAGCCCTATGAAATCAAAGGCCTAACACCATGTGAAGGTTACACGTCATGTTTGATGATTGCAGGGCAGCATGATATCTGTGCTGCTAGCACAACAGGTAATTTGCTGGTTCTTAATGAACCTTCCTGTTTTCTTTAACTCCCCTTCTCTCTCTCGCCTTTTTTTTTGCAACTGTCTACCCAAAGGCTTATGTTAACAATCTTGCTACAACCCCTGTCATGCTGTAGTTTCAGGCTCTTGTTGCTGGGTGGTGCTCTGGAGCACATTTCAGAAAAATCTGCCAACTTTTGACATGATTTTTCTTAACATCTATTAAAACTAACCATGGGAAACAATGTTCTAGATCACTGTGGTAAATTGGAAACCAAAGTTTGTTTAATTGAATGAGTAATATTTTATAGCAGCAGTTAATTCCAATCCTAAGTGTATAAGTTGAGGACTGAATAACTGAGTGATTAAACCTCTTGATTTAAAAAAAAATTTTTTGAACAGTTTGGCAGCTGGTTACATTTTGGTATTTTTTATAGTCGGTTTATTTAGATTAAAGTATGAAGTGGCTATGTTCTGTAGTAATTTAGAAATGAAGTTCTTGTACAAGACTAATATTTCTTTTTGTGCATCTGGGATTTCCTGCTATATGGTCCACATCTTGTAGAATTCCAAAAGTCCACTAACATAACTTTGTCTGCAATGACTCAACATTCCCAAATTAGCAGGTTACGTAGGCTATGCCACACATGCTTTTGGGTCACTGTATTAAAATCATAGCTGGGATGTCTTTTCCAGCTGGACAGAGCCAGTTCTAAAGTAAACTGGCCTGCATAAGCTGACGTATTCCTAAAACAGTAGTTAGCATTGCTGCCTCACAGTGCCAGGGACCTGGGTTTGATTGCACCCTCGGGCGACTGTCTGTGCAGAGTTGTACATTCTCCCCGTGTCTGTGTGGGTTTCTTCCGGGTGCTCGGGTTTCCTCCCACAGTCCAAAAATGTGCAGGCTAGGTAGATTGGCCATGATAAATTGCCCATAGTGTTCAGGGCTGTGTAGTTTAGGTGGGTTATAGGGGAATGGCTTTGGGTGGGATGCTCTGAGGGTTGGTGTGGACTTGTTGGGCTGAAGGGCCTGTTTCCACATTGTAGGGATTCTATGATCTATGATTAGTAAAATGATCCATCAGTGCCAATTATCTTCCAGACTTTTTCCTATTTTAACTTGAATTAAGTTGAATATTATTAAGCTTAGATCAGAGACTTTGTAAGCAAGCTTGCTAATGAACGTACTTTCTGACATCAAACATTTAAAAACCAATCTTTCTTCTGTAGATCCTATGCCACCTAATAACTTAACCATAATCAGTTCGAGTGCTCATAGCCTTACTGTTTACTGGGACAAACCAGCTTTGGGAAGCGTCGACTGGTTCCAACTGGACGTCCACTTGCTTGGGCAGAGGGGAGAGGTCATCAATCCATTACTTCAGTCTTACAGTTTAATACAAAGTGGAACAACATTCCTTATCGATGGGCTGCCAGCTTGCCAGAAGGTGAATGTTTCTCTCGCGTCTGTATGTGAAGCAGTTGAGATCAAGAAACGTCCAGAGATCTTTGTGGTGGCAAATCTAGGTAAATTGATCAATATTGTTCATTAAAAATGAGAATCAAGCCATTCATGGATATTTTTTACCCCCAAACATGTTTGTTCACAAGATTTGGACATCACTGCTGGGCCAACTTTTTGAATCACTGCAGTCTGTGTAATGTAGAAAAACCTACAGTGCTGTTTGAGCAGCTGTCTTCCAGGACTTTGACCCAGCAACAGTGAAATACACTGATTTAATAAGTAAACTCCCCTACGGGATTAAGATGTATTATTATATATTGGCCACAAAGTATCATTTGCTTATTCCCACTTCTATTCGGAGTATGCCTTTTATTCCAAGTAGTTTTGCTGTTTATTTTGGTTTCTGATGCATGTGCAGAACTGAAATTCACTGGGCTAGTTATCCAATTTAAAGCTTTGGGGAACACTATTTCAAATCCTGCCATGGTAGCTGGAGGAATTTAAGTTCAAATTGTTAAAAATCTGGAATTGAAAGCTGTGTGATGACTGTGGAACTAAGCATTGTTTGTTTATTTTTTTTTTAATTTAAGAAAAACCATTTGGTTCACTGTCCTTTTTTTTATTAAAGAGAAGATGTACTGTACTTGCCCCCGGCCCACAAGTGATCCACAGCAATGTGTTTACTGCCATCTGAAATAGTCTAAGCATGGCACTCTGGACAAGGGCAATTGGGTGGGTAAGAATTGTGGGCCTTGCCAGTGACACACATGGAATAATTTAAAAAAAAAACAATTGTTCTGAAGTGTGCTTGTCACCAATATTTGATGCCAAGTTTCACTCCTCAAACTTGGGATAGTTTATAAAAACCAAAAGAACTGCAGATGCTGTAAATCAGGAACAAAAACAAAGTTGCTGGAAAAGCTCAGCAGGTCTGGCAGCATCTGTGGAGGAGAAAACGGAGTTAATGTTTCGGGTCCAGTGACCCTTCCTCAGAACTGATGGTGGCTGGGAAAATGTCAGTTTATATGCAGAAAATAGGGAGGTGGGTGGGATAGGGTGTAAACGATGGGATAGAGCCTAAAGAGAGAGAAAGACAGTTGGACAGACAAAGGAGTTGCTAACGATCAGGCTGGGAGGGTGAATAGTTGTTAATGGGGATTGTTAGTGACTAACAACAGGGGGTGTGTAGTGGCAGGCTTTCGTGGTAACAAGGCCTGGTGTGTGGGGTGGGGGTGCTGTGACATAGGAGAGTTTAGGCCCTAAAATTATTGAACTCAATATTAAGTCCAGAGGGCTGTAGGGTCCCCAAGTGGAAAATGAGGTGTTGTTCCTCCAGCTTGCATTGGGCTTCACTGGAACACTGTAGCAAGCCAGAGACAGAGATGTTGGCCAGAGAGCAGGGTGGTGCATTGAAGTGGCAGGCAACAGGTAGTTCAGGGTCTTTTTTGCGAGCAGAACGTAGATGTTCTACGAAGCGATCGCCAAGTCTATGCTTCATTCCTCCAATGTAGAGGAGACCACATTGTGAGCAGTGAATGCAGTAGACTAGATTCTGGGAAGTGCAGGTGAAGTGTTGCTTCACCTGGAAGGTATGTTTGGGCCCTTGGATAGTGGGGAGAGAGAGGAGGTAAATGGGCAGGTGTTGCACCTTCGCCGGTTACAGGGGAAGGTGCCGTAGGGCTGTGGGTGAAGGAAGTGTGGACCAGGGTGTCCCGGAGGGAATGGTCCCTGCGGAAGGCGGACAAGGGAGGGGAGGGGAATAGGTGTCTGGTGGTGGCAACCCCACACAGCTCGTTTCTACCTCCTGCCAAAAGTCCACAAACAGGACTGTCCAGGTAGACCCATTGTTTCAGCCTGCTCCTGCCCCACAGAACTCATCTCTTCCTACCTTGACTCAGTCTTCTCCCCTTGGTCCAATACCTACCCACACACATCCATGATTCATGTGACACCTTACACCGGTTTCAAAGCTTCCAGTTTACTGGCTCCAGCCACCTCCTCTTTACCATGGATGTGCAATCCCTTTACACAGTCATTCCCCACCAGGAGGGTCTTAGCGCTCTCCGCTTCTTCCTGGAGCAAAGACCTGAACCATCCCCACCCACCACCACCCTCTTCCGCTTGGCTGAGATTGTCCTCACCCTCAACAACTTCTCTTTCAACTCCTCTCATTTTCTTCAGGTAAGAGGGGTTGCCATGGGTACCCGCATGGGCCCTAGTTATGCCTGTCTCTTTGTGGGGTACGTGGAACATTCTTTGTTCCAGTCCTATTCCGGCCCCCATCCACATTCCTTGTTCCAGTCCTATTCCAGCACCCACACACAACTCTTTCTCCGACACATCGATGATATCATCGGTGCTGCTTCCCTCTCTCATCTAGAATCGGAAAACTTCATCAATTTCGCCTCCAATTTCCACCCTGCCCTCACTTTCACTTGGTCTATCTCGGACTCCTCCCTTCCTCGACATTTCTGGGGATAGACTGGCCACTAATATCCATTACAAACCCACCGACTCCCACAGCTACCTGGACTATACATCCTCACACCCCACTTGCTGTAAAGACTCCATCCCATTTTCTCAGTTCCTCCGTCTCCGTCGCATATGTTCAGATGAGGCCAACTTCGACAAGGGAGCGTCCGAAATGCCCACATTCTTCCTCAACCAAGGATTCCCCAGCTCCGTTGTCGACAGGGCCCTCAATCAGGTCCAACCCATCTCCTGCACTTCTGCCCTCACCCCTTCCCTTCCCTTCCCTCCCACAACAGCGATAGGGTTCCCCTTATCCTCACCTACCATCCCACCAGCACCACATCCAGAAGATCATCAGACGCCATTTCCGCCACCTCCAGCAAGATGCCACCACCAGACACATATTCCCCTCCCCTCCCTTGTCCACCTTCTGCAGGGACCGTTCCCTCTGGGACACCCTGGTCCACACTTCCTTCACCCCCAACACCTCCCCACCGTCCTATGGCACCTTCCCCTGTAACCGGCGAAGGTGCAACACCTGCCCATTTACCTCCTCTCTCCCCACTATCCAAGGGCCCAAACATACCTTCCAGGTGAAGCAACACTTCACCTGCACTTCCCAGAATCTAGTCTACTGCATTCGCTGCTCACAATGTGGTCTCCTCTACATTGGAGAAACGAAGCATAGACTTGGCGACCGCTTCGCAGAACATCTACGTTCTGCTTGTAAAAAAGACCCTGAACTACCTGTTCCCTGCCACTTCAATACACCACCCTGCTCTCTGGCCAACATCTCTGTCTCTGGCTTGCTACAGTGTTCCAGTGAAGCCCAACACAAGCTGGAGGAACAACACTTCATTTTCCACTTAGGGACCCTACAGCCCTCTGGACTCCATATTGAGATAACAAGGTGTAGAGCTGGATGAACACAGCAGGCCAAGCAGCATCAGAGGAGCAGGAAGGCTGACGTTTTGGGCCTAGATCCTTCTGGCCCAGCCCCCCCACCCCACACACCAGGCCTTGTTACCACATAGCCTGCCACTACACACCCCCTGTTGTTAGTCCCCATTGATAACTATTCACCCTCCCAGCCTGATCGTTAGCAACTCTTTTGTCTGTCCAACTGTCTTTCTCTCTCTTTTGGGCTCTATCTTATCACTTACTCCCTACCCCACCCACCTCCCTATTTTCTGCATATAAACTGACAACTTCCCAGCCACCATCAGTTCTGAGGAAGGGTCACCGGACCCGAAATGTTAACTCTGTTTTCTCCTCCACAGATGCTGCCAGACCTGCTGAGCTTTTCCAGCAACTTTGTTTTTGTTGGGAGAGTTTATTCCTGGGATAGATTACTCTGCTGCACAGGAAGCATTCACAAGAGAATCTCAGCAATTCCTGTTTAGGTAAAAATAGAAGAGGGAAAGAGAGACATTGCCCAAATGTCTTTATTTTAAAATTATATTGTTTTTTTTTTAATCCTTTGAAGCAAGACCTGAATAGATGGAGAACCTTTATTTCTTTTCTATCAACTAAAGCTCAGTGGGTAACACACTCTCAAAAAATTGTGGATTCGAGCCCCACTCAAAATTGTGCACAATCTTTTGGTCAGCACACTGCGCTAATATTGCAAATGAATGTGCATGCTGTAGTTGTTATTTAAAAGTAACTGATGCTAATTGGGGAAAGGTTAGGACACGTTTATAAGAACTAGTTAGGGGGTCAGTGGAAGTGACCCTAACTCTGGGCCAGATGATCTGGGTTCAAGACCCTCCTCCGATTTATAGGTATTTGTCAGAACAAGTTAAGTTTTTTTTTTAGAAAAACCCTTTCTGGCCATGAAGGCCAAGGTTATGGTGTTGGGTTCAAAATTTATTTGGGCTTTCCCACGTCAAATTGAAACTGGCTCAAAGTGAATTCATTCCTTTGTAGTGTCTTGTGTATTGGTAGTATTGACCCTACCATTGGGCTAGAAGGTCTGGGTTCAAGTTCCACATGCCCTGGAAATGTCAGAACCTGGGCCAATTTGTGTCTTTTTTCAGGAAAGAAACATAAGAACTAGCTGGTTTGCAGAAGGGGATAGATAGTAGTCTGTACTTGTGCTGTTTGAGCTTTTGTGAAATAAACCTGGACAGGCAAGTTCCTGCTGTTTCCTTGATGAGATTACCATTCCACATTTTATTGCCCTAGTGTGCTGACCAATATTTGTCCCTCGAACAACAGCAGTTACTGGGATTATCTGGCCATTATCATTATCACTAGTTCTTATAAAATAACTATTCTTATAAATGTTTCCTAATCTTTTCCCCAATTAGCATCATTTACTCTTAAATAACAACTACAACATGCCCCTACATTTGCAATATTAGTGCAGTGTAATGACCAAGATTGGTCTTTAGATCCTGCTGTGTAATTTCCCTACCCCCACTTATTACATTACAGTCGTGATTAGACTTTGAAAGTATTTTATTGATTGTGTAAATTTTTCTTTCGGAAATGAGACTTGAAGGCATTGTATGTTTTGCGAGTACTTTGAGCTGAGTTTCAATCTGTCAAACTCATGCACCGCTGCTTTTACATTTTAATGTTTCCATCACTTCAACCATTTTAAAATAATGTTTCCTACTGTGTGCGCAGCTCCCATAAAGTTTGTGAAAGTTACTCAGACAGCTGGCTCCACTGATGGCTATGTTGTGTCCTGGTCAGTGACGGGCAATCCATCAGGAATATTCTTCTATATCTACAAACATGGAACTCTGCAACGTGTCCAGAAACAGACAGAATATATTTCATCTGGTCTCGAACCCTGCACCCAAGAGACGTTAACAGTGGAGGCTGTTTGCAGGACTGGTGCAGTGGCAGACTCTAGAACAATCACTGTGGCAACAGGTTAGTATTTTATGTAAAAGGGCTGTATTTTCTTGCCCTCCAGAAATTGTTCCAGTTAAAATTCCTGCAGCAAGCTTTGTATGATAGAATAAAGACTGTCTTTTTGTTTTCACACTATTATACTAGAGATTTTAAATGTGACCTCTCACTCACCCACTTGACACACCATGTCACACAGGATTAGTTGCAGTGGAAGATGGAACAATGGAATTACAATGTATATTTGTATTCTGACAGGCCTATAGTTTGTTAAATGAGTTGATGGCCTTGTAAAGGATTCTCAGTAAGCCATGAGTTATTTGAATTGATTGAAGGTGACTGATTGTGAAATTTGTGTTGGATCAGTTTGAGTATACTCCTGCTTTTAAAGTATTATGACCTTTACCTATTTAGTTGATTTTCAACTGGTTTGATGATTTTCTGATGGAATTCTGTCTTTGCTGAACAGTCTGTGCTGTTGCGTTGCATGCAAATGACAAAATGATGTATACCAGTTCAAAGTCCCTTTCCTGAAGACCAGTTGTCTTTCACCCAACCTAGTTTGGAGGAGGGAAACCATGATACAGTGAGTCCTCACTTCAAGTTTATAGTTACTTACCTGAAAATCACTACTTTTGAGTAGGTCCCACATCCCCATTGGAATCAAAGTGAAAGCCAGAATTGGGTTTTCGCTTGTACATTTTTTTTGTCTCGCAGGCAAAAGAAAATTCGAGTTGAAATACATTGCTGTACATATACAACATTGTACAATCATAGTCAAATAACTTGCAAAATAAAATGCCTCACTATATACTGGCTGACAATGCAATATTTTAACAAACATTAAACATTTTAAAATAAAATACTTCAGATGTAATTTTTTAGATTGACCAGGCTTCATCTGGTAGCAAACATTAGTCGGTATAGGGAACTAGAGTTCTTGAGCCACCAGATGGGGCCCTTGAGAATGAGTTTGGAGCTAGTCAAGAGGATGAAACCCTTCGATGAAGCTGCCTGATTATATTGGCTGGCACCTCTGGGTGACACAACTTCCTCCAGCTGAGGGCTGTAATCCCCACTCTGCTCGTTTAGGCCACCACTAGCATTCAAGTGTACAAATTAGGAGTAGGAACAGCCTGCCGTTTTGATTCCGCTGAACTATTGAATATATTGTATAATGGCTTATCTGATTTGTGACCTCCTAATGCACATCCCTGCCTAACCCTGAGCCTTTGACTTCTTTTGTTTAATCAATACTTTATCTACTACTTCCTTTTAAATATTCAATGACTCTGCCTCTATCATAACTCCATGGGACAATCTAGAATGAGAGGTCATAGTTTTAGGCTGGGTTGGGAGGGGGAGTGGAGGATGGCAGACTTAAAACAGTTGCTTTTCTCAAAGGGTTGCACATCTGTGGATTTAGCAATAGCAGAGTGCTGTGGATGCCAGGACATTGAGTAAATGTGAGGAGAGAGATTTTTTAATTAATTATGGCTGGAGAGTTTTGAGGAACAGGCAGGAGGGTAAAGATGAGGCCGACTACAATCGTTTTAAGTTGTGCAACGGCATGAGGGTCTGGATTGCCTGCTTCTGCTCCTTATTCACTTCTCTCTGGGGAAGATCTCCAAAACTCATGACCCTCATGAGGGGGGGAAAAGCATTCCTTCTTATCTCTGTCTGTCTTAAGTGGGAGTACCCTTTCCCTAATTTTATCCTATCCCACAAGGGGGAACGATGTTTCAGTATCCACCCTGTCAAGTTCTCTTGGAATGTTTTGATTCTTTCAGAACTCCTGATTCATCAGCCCAATGGATACAGTCCCAACCTTTCCTCCTCCGATAACCGCCCACCCCTCAAAACCATGGCTATGACCATCAAGCAAATAAATCTTGTGAATGGCTTCCAATATATTTACATCCTCCCTTTAAATAAGAGACGAAACGGTACATAGTATTCCAGATGTGGCCTCATCAATGTTCTACAGAACTACAACCAAATATTCTTATGTTCCATCTCCCCTTGTGATACACAAACAACAATATTTAATTTGAGTTCCTAATTACATGCTGTACCTACATACTAACTCCTCTACCAAGACACCTAGACCCCCGCTCTGTACCTTCAAATATATTTGATCTCTCTCCATTTTAAATCGTTTGCTTTTCTATTCCTCCTGCCAAAATGGTCATGTTCATATTTACCCACATAGTCCATCTGCCAGATTTTTTTGCCAACTTGCTAAACTATGTATAATCCTTTCGCAGACTGTTTGTTTGTTTGTTTGTTTGTTTGTTTGTTTGTTTGTCCACAACTAACTTTCCAATCCAACTAATGGGTTCGTTGGACAAGCGAATTTGTAATCAGTGGATTTAGATTTATTGTATTTTACTTTATATTATGGGGTTTTTATTCATTTTAAAATGTGTATCATCTTCCAGCGCCTGAAATGATCACTAATCTGTTCTACAAGCAAACTGTTGATGGAGGCTTTTTCTCCTGGAAACCTCCACCCGTATTTCATGGTGTTTCTATCAGTGTTGTTAACGTGTTAACAGCTTTCACCAGGAAGCATTATTACCAGGTGTTGGGCTTGGATCCTTGCACTCAATACCAGTATGTGTTTGCAACAGTCTGTGGGCACTGGAGGAGTGAAGCTATCACCAGGACCGAGTTCACAGGTATCCAAACGTATACTACAGATTTGCAATCATTAATATAAAGACAATTTTTATACTTTTTATTTTCTGTCTTTTTAATTGTGGACTGGCATGAGAACAGAATGGTTTTAATATCAAGGATTGCTACAGGTTTTGAAGGCAAGTAACTTAACACTCATTGTGAAAACTTTGCACAGTAGCTGGTTCCAGTGAGTGGTAATTTACCAGTTATTGATGAAGACAGGGGTCTGGCTGTGCATAAGATACAGGGAAATGTTCAGATCTCTCGGCTCGGTGCTCTCTTCTCTGCAGTAAAAGCTGGCTTAAAGATGAAACACAAAAAAACAGTTTAACTGTCTGACATAAGTTTTTGAGATCTGTGATTTTTTTTTTTTGTAAAATTAATAAATCAGACCTTTTTAAGTGAATTAGTCACTTTTTTTTATAAAAACCAAAAGAACTGCAGAAGTTGTAGTTCAGGAACAAAAACGGAAGTCACTGGAAAAGCTCAGCAGGTCTGGTATCATCTGTAAAGAGAAATCGGAGTTAACGTTTCGGGTCCAGTGACCTTTCCTTGGAACTGATGGTAGCTAGGAAAATGTTGGTTTATTTGCAGAATATGGGGTGGGGGGACGGGGTAAGGAGTAAACGATAGGTGGGGAATAGAGCCTAAAGAGAGAGAAGAACGGTTGGTTGACAAAGGATTGGACAACGATCTGGCTAGGGGGGTGAATAGCTGTTGATGGAGACTCTTAGTGGCTAACAATAGGCAGTGTGTAATGCAAACTGTAATAACAAGGCCTGGTGTGTGGGGTAAGGGACTAGGACATCATTTTATACCTTTTACGAACTGGTAGAAGCATCTGGAGAAGGAAGACTATGTGAAGCAGCATTCTGATCAGCACAAAAACATCCCAGCAGGTCATGTGAACAGATCTTTGAACCGCTTTCCTAGTTTCCGTCTACCCATTACAGGGGTGATACACAAGAACAGCATTTCGTCTGTTAAAGATCCCTATCATTCCATAGCCTGCTAAAACATCAAAAGAAATGAACTATTTGAATATTGTTTGTTTTTGGTGGGTTTCTCATTCTTTGCAAGTATTCCCAAGAATTAAGGGATTGGGTGTGAGAGAGAGGGGATAGAATGTGGAATAGCTTTTAGCATTCCCTGGATAAGCCACAGGAATTTGCTGCTTCTGAAGTAACAGAGCTGGAGACAATGCACAATCCCAAAGGTGATCATAACCACCATGGGAAAGGGACTGACTGGATTGCGCCTACAGAGAGTTAGCAAAGATTTAAAGGACTGAATGGCCTCCTTTTTGTGCAGTAATTCCCTTTTTGTATTATTATAACCTGAGTTAGGGTAAGGAGGGAAAGTCAAGAGAATGAATGAATCAAAAGAATGAACTTGCAGTTGAGGTGATGTTTGGAGGTATGCTTTACGACATTTAAAAGACATTTGAATAAGTACATGAATAAGAAATGTTTGGAGGGAAATAGGCCAAACACAGGCAGTGAAACTAGTTTTAGTTTGGAATTATGTTCGGCATGGACTGTTTGGACCAAAGAGTCTGTTTCTATGCTGTATGAATGTTTTTGAGCAAATTAATGCAAGTATGCTGGATCAGAGAGTCTGCTTTTCAATAAATTAAAAGTCATTGACTTTGCATTCCACAGGTTGTCCTTTAGACATCCCACCTTCTGGCTATAGAAGCATTGTGGTGCTGCCAGAAAAAATACATTTCTGCATTTACTTTCCATGGATGTTTTCTGATTATATGAATGACCCAACTTCTAGAGCATACCTAAAATTGGCAACTATCGCTAATTCCAAGGTAAGATTTAAACGTGTGCTCAATATGGCACAACCATGGAGAGGTAGCAAGATTTAAATTACATGTTTTTAAAAGGGGCCTCGGTTATGTGGTGAGATTGCGGCACATTGGCTCAGTGATTAGCACTGCTGCTAGGCACCCAGGTTCAATTCCAGCCTTGGGCGACTGACTGTGTGGAGTTTGCATGTTCTCCCTGTCTGCATGGGTTTCCTCCAGGTGCCCTGGTTTCTTCCCACAGTCCAAAGATGTGCAGCTCGGGTGGACTGGCCATACTAAATTGCCTGTAGTGTCTAGGAATGTGCAGGCTAGGTGGATTAGTCAAGGGAAATGCAGGGAATAGGGTACAAGGATAGGGGGCTGAGTCTGGATAGATGCTCTTCAGAGGGTTGATGTGGACTCAGTCAGCCTGATTCCACACTGTAGGGGATTTTATGATTGTATAAATTGAGGTTTTGTTTTGAAGCAGAGAAAGTGATAGGGGTTCTTAATACAGGTTCCAAAACTGCGGGATCTTTGGTCCATAAGGATAAACAACTTCCTGTGACCAGGGTCAGGAAACAGAGAGCCAAAACCTAAGTGGATTGACAAAAGAACCGGCAGAGAGATGAAGGGAATTTTTAGTTATGTTGTTATGATCTAGAATGCTGTGCCTGAAAGAGGTGGTGTACAACATTTAGCACCTCGTGCCTGCTCCACCATCCAATAAAACCAGGGATGATTGTGACCTCCATTCACATTCCCACCTATCCTTCATAACCATAGATTCGTGCCTAACTAGGGGGTCAATCTATCTCTGCGTTTTTTAGAACAAAATTCAATAACCCTGCCTCTGCCACATTCTAGGGAAGAGGTTTGAACAGACTAATGATCCTGAGAAAAGATTCCTCCACGTTTCCATGGTAACGGAAGACCCCTTATTTTTAAACTGCATCCCCTGCTTCTAGTCATTCCGAATTCTCTCAGCCTCCACCCTGTCAAGCCCTCTGAATTTCTTATTTAAATAAGATCCTGTCATTAATGTATCCACTATGGTTTAGACAGACTCAGCCTGTAATCTTTCCCATTTTAAGATAACCTCTCTGGCCCCCAATGCCACCCAGATATCAATGGACTGAACCTTCTCTGAACTGTTTTTATAAATTCACTTCTGTAGTTCTCCAGTATTGTCATCAGCTGTGATAAGTTGGATCCCAGAATGAAACCTGGCTTAATCAATTTTTGTTTGTGTTTTTTTTGCAATTGGTTAGCATGATGGTTAGTCACCTGAAACATTCACATGATGTTTTAGATATTCTTTAACAACAAAACCATAACCAACAGATATAAATATACACACACTATAGTTAGAAAGATGCTAAAACAAAGTTTCAACCTGTTTGCCCAACACTGTCTGTTAAAGACTTGAACTCTTCTCCTCCAGGATGTGGAACAGTACAGCACAGGAATGGTCCCTTCAGTCCACCATGTCTGTGCTGACCATTCTAAATTAAATCCATCTGCCTTCACATAGTCTATATTCTTCTGATCCTTACTTGTTCACCTATATCTAAATGCCTCTTAAACATTGCTATTGTATCTGCTTCAACCACCTCCTGTCAACTTTAAGTTTTTACTCACTGACTCCTTCCAGTTTCTTTCCCCTGCACTGCGCAGACAATTTAACAATGCCTTTCTGATTCTGTGATTTTATTTTATTATTGTCACATGTACCTAAGTACAATGAAAAGTTTTTTTTTTTTTTTGTTTCGCGTACAATACAGGCAGATCATACCATACAAAGTGCATGAGGGTAATAGAACAGAGTGAAGAACAGAATGGTATAGCTGCAGAGAAGGTGCACAAGGAGTGAGATCAACGTTAGACTTCTGAAAGGACTTCTCAAATGTTAACAGCAGGGGAAGAAGCTGTTCTTGAATCTGTTGGTACATGTGTTTTAGGCTTTTGTATCTTCTGCCTGATGGAAGAGAGTATACCCAGGGTGGGAGGGGTCATTGATTATGTTGGCTGCCTTCCCAAGGCAAGGAGAAGTATAGATGGGCACAAACCTTTCTCAATTCTGGTTTATACTTTCTCACTTACTACTTTACAATTTAACAGCCTCTATCCAAATTGTCCTGGCTTGTAAACTCCACAGACTAGAAATCAGTTCTGCTGGGATGGCTGGTTCCTCGAACTGAACTTTTCTCCTTTTTGAACGGAAAAGGTTGATTTCTCTGCTCGCAAGTCCAAAACACAATCAATGGCTTTATTCTGTATACGGTGCCTGTCATAAATCCACCAGTACAAACAACATATATCCGTTAAGAAATTTTCTCATCAACCTGTACACAGATGGCATTACACGTCTCTTGGAGCAGCTGGGACTTGAACCTGGGCGTCCTGGCTCAGAAGTTGGAACATTACCACTGTGCCACAAGAGCTCCTCGTCATGTCCATTCAGATTTTTGTTTTTATTGAATTCAGATTCTGCTATCTGCTGTGGCCGGTTTTGAACCAAGTTCTTGGTGTTATCGTTGGACTGTTAATCCCACTAGACTGTTGCCTCCCATTGCCATCTTCTCCACTAATTTTTATTATTTATTTTCTAATCATCCTGTTTAGAGTTGCTATCTCTCACCTTTCGGAGCAGTTGGGACCTGAACCCAAGCCTCCTGATCCAGAGGTTGGGACATTACCATTGTGCCACAAGGACCCTCCATTTTCTGCACTAACTTTTTAAAAATTCTTTTCTACATCTTCAAACAATAATGTGCTTGATTGCAGTCCTCTGCTTTTAGTGGTCATTTAGGTCAGAATTCCAGGATAACTTCCTGACCCTTTTTCAGGAAATTCTTTAGACTGACCAAAACTACTCAGCCTCTATTTTAGAGTTCACTTTCTAAAACTCCTGAACATATTGTCCTTTTCATCACAATGTTGTACCTTTAAAATGGAGGTAAAAGCTGTACTCACCACTCCATTACTATTTTATACCACTGTAATAAAACATCTCTCCTTTATAGTCCATTCCCCTCCAATAAACAATAATCCAATTTTCCAAAAATTGGATTAAAACTGGAAAGGATGAGTGCTGGGCCATTGGACTAATTTGAATAATGCCTCAAGAAGCTGGCACAATCATAATGGGTTTAATGACCTTGCTTAATATTGTATCATTCCATAACCTGTCTTTTGAGCAGAGTTATTTGCATCTGGTGAAGGTTTAGAATTTGGCTATTCCCTTCTATTTTTAAAAAGCTCTGACACATTTTTCATTGACTAAAAATATAATACAAGCATGAATGTAAATTTAAGGCACAAATGAAGACAGTCCTTGAAAGATTTTAAAACTGTAGCATTGAGGGTGAGCAGCTCTTGTTTTAATAGACTGAAATATATAGTGCCCTGTTCCTTCCATCTCCTGTGTACAATTTTGCATTAATTTCACAGATTCTGCAATTATTCTTGGATTCTGGTCAATTCTCCAGCGTAGAAGTAGAGATGTTGTATCTGTCAAAAAGCAATGAGACAGTTGAGATGAATGTTGCAGCAGATGTCCACTTCAGTGACACCACCTCCAGCTTTGTGCACTTTTTGGCTGGCATAAATGATTCGAATGTGTTTCCAATGGGCAGTGCACTATTCTGGAATGGTGAGTAAACGGTTCCTTCTGTCACTACTTCTTTAAAACCTATTGTATCTCTATCTCTAACCACTGTTTTAGTTACTCATTTAAATGTATCTCCTATTTGGCTCAGTCTTATTTACATACTTGTGGTGTGAATTTTTCAGTAAACAAACCTGGGCATTTTTGATCTGTGAGGAGTTATCTATATATAAATTAATCATCTAAGTTCTTTGAGATTTTTATTTCTGTTCGCTAACTGATAACATGGATAATTCTTTCTTTATAACTATGAATCATAAATTTAAAACTCTTTTCACATAGATGAGGATGAATGTGCAAATGCTACGGCTAATGATTGCCCAGTGGAATCAGACTGCATCAATACTTTTGATTCTTTCACCTGCATCTGTCATCAAGGGTACCTTGAAACCAATGGCCAGGAGAGAGTTTGTAAAGGTATAGTTCCCTTGTCATTTCAATGAGAAATTGAAACTTAATGTAGACATTTTTTTAAGACGCTTAAAATGAATAACCTAGGGCACTTTCAACTAACTGTTTCCAGCATTCCCAGTGTATGGCTCTTTCAGCAACTTTAACTTACTTTTGTGTGGAGCTGGAGAGCCAGGAAAGATAGTTGAAATATTTCAAGCTGATGGCATTTCCATCGGAACCGAATAAGTTAGATTTAATGGTTCATAAGTAACCAGGTAAGAAGATTGAGCTCTAAATATTTCGCAAATGTTTTATAAAGACCATAAGATGTAGGAATAGAAGTATGCCATTCAGTCTACCATGTCCACTCCACCATTCAATGAGATCATGGCTGATCTGAAACCTCAACTCCACTTTTCTGCCTTTTACCTCATAACCCTTGATTTCCTTACCGATTTAAAAGTCTCAGCCTTGAGCATATTAATGATCTAGCCTCAACAAATCTACAGAGATAGTAGGAACAGCCGATGCTGGAGAATCTGAGACAACAAGATGTAGAGCTGGATGAGCACAGCAGGCCAAGCGGCGTCAGAGGAGCAGGAAGGCTGACGTTTCGGGTCTAGACTCTTCTTCAGAAATGGGGGAGGGGAAGGGGATTCTGAAATAAAGGGGGAGGTGGATAGAAGATGGATAAAGCCTACCGACTCCCACAGCTACCGAGAGTACACCTCCTCTCACCCACTTACCTGCAAAAAGGCCATCCCCTATTCCCAATTCCTTTGCCTCTGCCGCATCTGCTCCCGAGATGAGGCATTCCACTCCTGGACATCCCAGATGTCCTTGTCCTCGTTTTTCAAGGACCGCAACTTCCCCTGCACAGTGGTCAAAAACGCCCTCAACCATGTCTCCCGCATTTCCCACAACTCATCCCTCACACCCCCTCCCCACAATAATAACCAAAACAGAATCCACCTCATCCTCACGTACCACCCCACCAACCTCTGGATCCAACGCATTATCCACTGACACTTCTGCAATCTGACCCCACCAGCAAAGACATTTTTTCTTTTCCCCACCCTTATCTGCTTTCCAGAGGGACCACTCTCCGTGACTCCCTTGTCTGCTCCCCACTCCCCTCCAGCCCCACCACACCCAGCACTTTTCCGTGCAACTGCAGGAAGTGCTACACCTCACCCCCATCCCAGGCCCTAAGAAGACATTCCACATGAAACAGATGTTCACCTGCACATCTGCTAATGTGGTATACTGTACCTGCTGTTCCCGTTGTGGCCTCCTCTACATCGGGGAAACCAAGCGGAGGCTTGGGGACCGCTTTGTGGAACACCTACACTCTGTTCACACCAAACAACTGCACCTCCCAGTCACAAACCATTTCAACTCCCCCTCCCACACCTTGGACGACAGGTCCATCCTGGGCCTCCTGCAGTGCCACAACAATGCCACCCAAAGGTTGCAGGAACAGCATCTCGTACTTCGCTTGGGAACCCTGCAGCCCAATGGTATCAATGTGGACTTCACAAGCTTCAAAATCTCCCCTTCCCCTACCGCATCTCAAAACCAGCCAAGCTTGTCCCCGCCTCCCTAACCTGTCTTTCCTCCCACCTCAAGCCCCACCCCCCTCTCCTACCTACTAACCTCATCCCGCTCCCTTGACCTGTCCGTCCTC